TATCAGATTTGATATCACAATGTATTGCATGAGAATAACATCTGTCTACTATTTTGATTCTGATCACCGCATATCATATCACGATGCATTACATTAGGACAGCAGATCTTCAGTTAATGACAATACGAAACATGTATAGAGACTAATGTCAGCGCCAGAAATAGATGGAGAAAACTGTAGGAGTAATATCTCGCGAACGGATCTAGCTAGCAATCTCGTCTTTTCAGCGTTAGAAAGAATAGTCTTTCGGGGACAAATCTATATTAAATTCAATAGGTGAGTGAATGGTCAAGGTTGTTAATTACCGTTGAAAATTTTATGCCCTATCGGACAAAAATGTTTTCGAATAGATTTTTAATTCCAAGGTAATCATTCGATAGCACAAAGTCTACTCTCTTAATCTACGAAAGTCCGAACTTTTTATCTTATAGTGTTCAAAATTTATTCAAGCTACACTGAGTATCTGTAGCGTGTCAAAAATATGATTTTTTTTCGAGAGAGAAGAATCTTTTCATTGTTGGTGCATGAGAGTTTTCGACCAATTTAAGTCGCATAACGACAAGTGATTAGTCATTCCGACATAATTCACTTCGATCATCACTTTGTTCTATAGCTTTGTTCTGAATCTAATGTAAATGACACTGTCTACCATACATTCTTGCTTCTTTTTCTCTGTATTTTCAATGTTGTGAATCTATTGCACGAAAAACTACCAGTCAATAAAGTCAAAGTTCGATGGTATCATCGCTAGCATCAGAAAGATTATCAGTCTCGATATCTGATACGTCGTCGATTAATTGTAACTCAACAGTATTTTCTACGAATTCATCTGCTGCTTTGTACGCTGTTTCCACTTTTTCAGCATGACGAATTGCACTTTGTGCAGCTTTGTTATCGAAATCAGCAATAAATTCGGAAGCTAATTCATAGACGCTGATCAACAAGAAGTTAGTGTTGTTTTTACGAACATATTCTTTTAATCCAACCCAAACGATCTCGACGGGATTTAATGAACAATGTCGCACTGGCAGTCGCAAGATTGTACGCCGAACTCTTGTGTGACCTCGTCAACCTAAGTAATATAAGTTCATAACATATGAGTATTATAAAACTACCTATACTTTATATTTTTTGTTTGGGTTTATTCTCCAAAACAATCTCTAGTAATTCCGATTTTGTAAATGTCGAATCAAATTCAATTCCATGATTTTCCAACCATTCAATTATTTGATTTTTTCTCATTGATCCTTTGGCAGGTTTAGAACTTTCTGTAAGTTCCGAATGCCATGTGGCATTATCGATCACTATGGCTATTCTTCGATTTTGACCTAATTTCAAAAATAAAATTTAAGAAATTCTTATTTGAGCAAAATTTATCGTTATCTTCTCTCAGGCGAAAAGCTGCTTTTTTAATCCATTCAATAAAGTGTGCTAAGGTCATTGAACGATCTTCTGAAGAGTTGAAGATCTCAACAGATGGTAAGTGAAAACCATTCTTATCGATCATAGCAGATATTCCCAAACGAGAACTTAAATAAAAAATATATATGAATATTATATTAGGTATAATTGTTAGTATATTACCTTTGCCATCGGTTTTTCTAAGCCTTCCTTTACCAGAATCATCAATCCAGATTGATCTTTTCTTCTCGCAGACATTCACCCACGTTTCGTCGTGAAACAAAATTAAAGCACCAGCTTTTCGCAATTCGTCAAGATTGCAGAAATAAAAAGCACGTTGAGTCACGAAAGAATTATCATCTAGTGCCACCTTTACTTTGCCTGTCCTTTGATAGGAAAAGCTCAATCGATGCATATGTCGCCGAAGAGCTGTCTGTGAACGAATTGGAAAATCTTTGTGAACTGTGAGAAGACGTTCGAGAAGAATAACAACAGTAGGATAATTTTTTTCTGCAACAACAGAAGAAACTGAGATTGAATTTCATCATCAGCTTCTTCAGATAATGGAATTGATGGACGTCCCAGAATCTTACTAGGAACCTTCAATAGAATCGTGTTCATTCCATAAGACGTAGACCAAGTTGATATATTCTGCTTTTCGTGTGAAACGTTCGTCGATTGAGTTTGTGACGCTGATCGGAGTCGTAAGCGCTTTTCTTCTTCTTCATTCACTTGCTCTTCTTGTAATTCACGTATTACCTTCATTTCCTTCTTCAAATTAAATAATAATGACTCAGAAATGCCCAACATTGTGAAAATGCGCGCAGTCAAATTATTCATTGGAATTTTTGGTCCATCTTTTTTACTTTCGACAAAGTCAATAACACAGAAAAATATTTCTTTGATTTCAGGAGTGAAATGAACGTCTTGGGGCATGATTTAAACACATAGAAGAATAGAGTTAGTAATAATATTATACATATATATATATATATTTGTATATAGATGAGAGAGAATTACCAAAAAAATCTATCGTTTCTTTCTTTCTAGCCAATAGGGGAAAACATAAAAAAGAGAAAGTACATTTAACATCTTTCGAGCCAAAATTTCACGATAGAGGGAAAAAGAAGCGAGAATGTATGGTGAACAGTGTCATTTGCATTAGATTCAGAAGAAAACTATAGGACAAAGTGATGATCGAAGTGAATTATGTTGGAATGACTAATCACTTGTCGTTATGCGACTTAAATTGGTCAAAAACTCTCATGCACCAACAATGAAAAGACTCTTCTCTCTCGAAAAAAAAATCATATTTTTGACACGCTACAGATACTTAGTGTAGCTTGAATAAATTTTGAACACTATAAGATAAAAAGTTGGGACTTTCGTAGATTAAGAGAGCAGACTTTGTGCTATCGAATGATTACCTTAGAATTAAAAATCTATTCGAAAACGTTTTTGTCCGGTAGGGCATAAAATCTTCAACGGTAATTAACAGCCTTGACAACTCACTTACCTACTGAATTTAATATAGATTTGTCCCCGAAAGACTACTCTTTTTAATGCTGAAAAGACGAGATTGCTAGCTAGAACCATTTGCGAAATATTACTCCTACAGTTTTTTCCATCTATTTCTGACGCCGACATTAGTAATGATGAATAAAGAATTAGATGTTTAAAATGTATATTACGATTTAAAAAATATATCGAAACTATCACAACCATTAAAATAATCGAATATTTTATAAAAAATTTCATTTGATAAAAGTTCAATACAAGTAATTTCTATGCTATAATAATCAATGCACAAAAATTAAAATAAAACTAAAATATATATTATTTACTTACTCATTGTTATCAAATGTTAAATCTTAAATAAAAAAAAAACTTTTTTCAAAATTTAATTGATTGTAACAAATAATTGAAACTTACTTCGTAATTTTTTTGCTTTTTTTATCAGACGATACATATTTATTCAACTGTCGTTTGACTTGAGTCATAGGAATGTTAAAAGATATGATCTAGAAAAATTTATTAAATTAAAATTTTGTGTGGGTGTGGGTTTGGATAAAATGAACACCCACACCCGCACCTCACATCCACACCCGCACCTCACATCCACACCCGCACCTCACATCCACACCCGCACCTCACATCCACACCCACATCCACACCACATACCCACACCCACACCTCCACCCTTTCCACACCCACACCCCCACCCTTTCCACACCCACACCCACACCAACACCCACAAAATAGGTTTTATCAAGGAATTAATTAGACAGACGGCATTAAAATTGTGAGGTTATAATACGATACTAGCAATCTAAAAACAGGAAATAAATCAATTGTAAACACAGAATTTTCTTTGAACTTATTTTAGAGCGCTTTAAAAGCATTCTCAAACCATATGAAAATAGCTATTTCACTTATAAGACCGAATGATAAGAAATAATGATTATTTTCAACAGTCCAATTCAATTTACATATGTCAGTGATTAACTATGCCAACCATCGAACTGTTTAGCATAAATAAATACTACGCGCAATTCTACTAGAGTGCACTTTCCGACACTGTGATGTGAGTGTGTAAGCCTGAAATTGAGAAGACTCGAATTGGATTGTGATCAGGCAACTTCGAATCATGACCTCTGAACAATAAAGCTTCGACCATATGCTGACCTATTCTCATTGTACTTATTCTTTGTTTATTGTGATATGTGACAAAGATGAACATGATAATAGATATTCTTTCGATTTGATAAAGATATTATCTGAAAACAGAATATTCATTGCATCTTTGGAATAATTCAATATTGATATGATTATATTTTTCAGGAGTAAAAACAAGCTGATTTAAAAGTTCGACAAAAAAGTTTAACATACATAAAGAAATATCATTACCAAATAAAGCATATAAAGAAGAAAATGAATTTCTAACAATTTAAATGCCTTGATCTTCAATAGATCTTTGAATAGAAAGTGCTATCAGTTCATCCTCTGTCATAGTATTCAATAAAGCTTGCAGAAAGAGATCTCTTAAAATCATGTTTTGATCAGGAGCATTTCGACACAATTCAATGAGACTCTTTGAACGATTTTCTTCTTGTTTGACTTCAGTTGATTGTATTTCAGGTCCATAAGGATGATAATCAATTAATCGTCGTCGTTCAAATGCGGCTACTGATTTATTGTACCAATAAGCATATGTCGATTGTAAACTACTGGAAAGTATTTGTGGATCTAAATATTGATGAATTACATTTTGATAATTTTGAAAATCTTGCATATTACATTCAGCACCTTGTAAGGGAAGTAAGCTATTTGATGAGACATATTTATTCATAAATGTAAGAATTATACCAATACTAAATAAACCTTCCGCAAAATCAACAGCACTATCAACATTTACTGTTTCACCCCAAATTGGTTGTAGAGGAGGTTGGCAATTTAAAAATATTTGTCGAAATTTTTTCCAATTTTCGTAGTCACCATCTAAACCACGTAATGTATTGAGAATGGTGAGTGTTTCATTCATATCTATTTCATCATCATCAATTATCAATTGTGTATCTAAACTGATCCAATTCTTTTTAAATTGTCGATAATCATTTAGAGCATTGATAATATCAATGACTCTCATTCGACTTAAAAAATAGTTTAAATTTGTCTTATACTTGTTTCGATAAAATTCTTGACCACTAGCAGAAAACATTTGTATTTTATGAGTTTCGTTGATATCAACTTGTGATAGAATTTCGACAGCTTTTTGTAATGATTCGATAGAATATGGTTCGAGTATATTCAAATCAGGAATGATGTAATGTGGACAGTAACGTTTATTCAACAGATCGATAGCATATTGAAGCCATCTTTTAGTCAATGTTTCTTCATTATCAATAGTCAAATCCATTGTTTCACACATCCATAATACTGTAGTCTTTATGAAATAAGACGGTATTACATTCTGTGTTGATACTTTTTGATCTTTTAAAAATTTATAATAGATACTTCGTGCAATACCATTCAAAACACGTTCCTGATTGGAACGTTGTTGAGCAAGAATCAACTCAATGGCTGAAAATGAATAACGAAATTCGAGTTCTCGATCACATCGTGGCGTTTTTGTTGACCATTTTGGAATGACATGCATTGATGCTTTATCTAGAATTAAATGATAAAGTAGTGGACGATTATTTTTGATTCGTTCGAGAAAAGGTTGAATATCTGTTGGCCAAAATTTTAATTGAAGTGAAGGAACGAGATCAACATCAGTAGGAGCACAAGATTGAAAATAATCTGCCATATCTTTAATATTTTTGGGATTACCAATATAAGCATATTTATCATAAAAATTTAGAAGAGCTTTAATCCGAACTAAAGTTACTTGTGGTAAACTATGATCATAGACAGGACCTACTAGAGTGAATAGATCACGAAAAGTTTGTTCATTGATATGTTGTTCTTCAAACATCATTGTATTGGAAGGTGTTTGATATAATGGCATAGCATATTGAGCAATGGATTGGGTTACACCTTTACTGAATAGAACATAGTTTGTTCGAATAGTATCAAAATTTAATTGATTACGTTGTTGTTCTACTTCTAGAAGAGCATTGTGAAAGTTTCTGCTAATATCAATCGATTCATAGTTCAAAGTTTGTGTTGCAGCTGCACTAGATGCATCAGATGATGTCTGACCGGATCGATGAACATAAGATAAAGGAGCACCGATATTTGTTTCTTTTGTACAATGTATTTCTTTGAGTCGAAACCCATTTAGACAACGAACACCATTCGCATCATCTTGAGCTATAAATACTATACTACCAGTAGCTTCTATGTCATCATCAAATTTTATTCTGACAAATCCTGGAACATTAGTTCGAATAAGATTTTTCTCTAATTTAATAATGCCACAATGAATAAGAATATCAATATCTTGAATATTTTGATTCGCCATATGACGTGCATAAGTTTGACCTTCTGCACTACTACCTGATAGAAAAGAACGATTTCCAATTGCGTCCATTGCTATCATTATGACAAATATGTTTCTTGTTGTTTTTATAGTTATGATAACGGTAGTTTCAATTTACGATAAATATGAATAATACTGGATAAAAGCTTGAATAGAAAAATGTTTGTTTCGATACTTATACTGTTAGTGAACAATAGAGTCGTTGTTAAGATAAAATAAAAAATCTTGAGTGTTGATTCAATCGCTTCTGTTACAGTGTGAGTAATACGGTAAAGCATTAAGTAAAGAAAAACAAAATTTTACTTTCTTTTTCTTTTATCTTGACAATTTTTTGTTGGAAATTTCCAAGAATGTATCAAATCATTGATCTAGTCAAAATATAAGATTAACTATACTGTTCATGGTCGTATACATTAAAAATCAATCTATTCTGTTGAGGAGAAACACATGTTCAGACAATAACAACATCAATCAAAGTTCAATTATTATTTATTGATAGAAATCTCTATACAAACTCTCAAATGTATTGTACAAGTTGCTGAGAAATGATCATAATGTAATTTATGATGACCTTTCATTCCACACAAACGAACTGTACTCCACATCACTATAAGTCATTCGACAAGTAAATATTGAATTTATCTATTCCATTCAGATTAATTCCTTTAGCTAAAGGGAGATTTATATGACATACAATAATATTGTGCTTATGTATGTATTTTTGTTCGTACGTAAATATATAGATGTGAGAGAAAGTAGTCAAATGTTGATAAGTGGAAAAAATTAGCAAAATTGAGCTTAGTTCAAATTATTTTTCATAATGAATTAAGTTTAATGCTAATACACATGAGTTAAAGGAAAAATACACAAATAGAAAAAGTTGATAGCCATATAGTTCTATTAGGCCTTTGTGTTACCTTTATCTACACTCTCGGAGAAGTCGAAACCCATTTATCATCATAAATTTTTTCAATTGCAGTCATCTATTTGATTACCTGCTCCTTTACCTTCTCTTCAAAAACTATAACTTCAATACCTTCAAGGATCGATGATAAGGATGTAGGTTTGAGTATGGAGTATGAGTTATGTCTTTACTCACATCCATATCCTTCACGAAAGGAAATTTATTTTGAAGAACAATTTTTAATGGAAGATATATTGACGATATTCTTTTACGAGGATGAGAAGTCAAGGATATTTTAGGCTATAGTCATTTAATTGACTGGGTAATTTATCACTGAAACGTAATCATTTTTAAAGTTATCAGACAAAGGACAATAAACGATACTTTTTTAAGTGTCGTGATGCATAAGAAAGAATTTTACGACATTATTTTTTAAACAACCTTGTATCATGAAATAGTCGATAACAATAGCGATTTTATTGATGAAAATGATTGTGACTCTAAATTGACTCTACTATTTTACACAATCACAAAAGTATTGTAGTAGATGTTCATGAATAAATCTAATATTGTAAACAGTTATAGTAAAAGAAATAATCTTAACCATGCAATTTTGACGATTAAGTAAGTTCAAGAAGTGAACATTACTTATATTACAATATTCATAAAAAGCCATAAATCAATATGAAAAACTCTTTTAATTCGTTTATGGACATATACAATTGACTATTGATAAAAGAACCAACGGCGTAATTCATAGATGTTGATCGTTTTTTGACTGCTTCTCATAAATAGTTTCTTTTACCAAAAATCTAGCAGAGACATTTTCAACATCTTATAAATAATAAAAAATATTCCGCAGACTCTATTGAATAAGATCAAAACATATCATGCTAAACTTTTGTTGTGATATTTCAAGATCACTATCATTTCTTAGTTTTATTGAAAAATGTGAACAGTAGAAAAAAAAATCTTCAACACAAACTATAGATCTTCACATATGAAACATGTTAAAATTAGAGTTTAGACGCAGACTGGGGTGTGGGTGTGGGCGTTAATTAAGAGAAAACATACCCACATCCACACCAACCCACCCACACCCTCAAAATAGCAGACAGATGTTATTCTCATGCAATACATTGTGATATCAAATCTGATA